ATGCAATCTGTATTTCCTAAATCGCGACTGTCCAGCTGAGTAAAACATCTGTCTCTGACCAGACCACGCTACTGCAGAGAGCCACTTATTGACTGACAAAAGAGAAAGGAGTGATGTTAGTAGTTTAGGGAAACTACCTCTCAAGCCTTTCTAAAACCAGATCAAGGAATTGATAAGTTCTCACTCTGGTGTAATAGAGACCTTCACGCCAGAGCTATCTGAAAATAAAGACTTTTTTTTTTTTACCATCAACGCACCTCACTGCTGCCCACAGTCTTTATTATTACAAAACCAGAGATGTTCAAGTGACATCCCTAGGGCCTGATCATAATTCAGAAATAGAAATGAGGCTCCTTCCCTTATGACTTGTTCAGCCCTATCTTCCTCTCCTATGCAAAGAGCAAGTCTTGAGTATGCGAGTATAGAAAAATCATCTCATCCATTTAGAAATGGAAAATATGTATGAAGAGAGAAAAGGGAAAATATATAACACCGAAAACTGGTAAAAAAAAATCATCATCATCTCCTAAATAGAAATCCTCTGAGAGGCCATTGTTAGACAGGTAGCAACTTCCAAGCTAGCCGAAAGGAGTGAAGTATTAATCCCCTCTTGGCCATCAATGGGTAAAATTTACCTCTAAAGCTCCTAAATTCAATTCTAAAAATATTTAATTAAAAGGAAACCTTCCAGAATACCTCCTCTACCACGAAAAATTGGGGGCAAATGAAAACAGCTGTCTGTGGTGTCCGAGGTGTCCTCTGGTCTGGGGTTCTGACCTGCCGAGAATTGCCTCCCAGTCCCAAGCCACTTTGGATTAGTAAGTGCCGGTGGCTTCTGTGGCTGGGTGGGGCTCTGTACAGGTGCCTCAGTAAGGCAGGTCTGGGGAACTTGCGCACGGGCAGGTGGCAGATTTCTGATCTCTAGTTTGCATTGATCTTACGTTTAGACACAGACTCAGAAGAACAGACACCCCCTTTTCCAGTGCCTTCGGAAAGATTGCCGCTCCGTAGAATGAGTCCTTTCTCCTCCACCCTTAATCTACAACCCAGCTTCCCGGGGAGATCCTACTTTGATTTCCGATCCTCACCCCACCAGCTGAGCTTGCATTCCTCCTTACAGTCTCTCAATGCACCGGGTGAGCTGAGCTCGTCTGACCTTTCCTCTTAATCTCTGTGCCTGGAAGGCATCTCTGAAATACCTGTTTTGTTCTTGCCATTCATGTGCGTGGAGAAGGCAGTGAGCTCGTCTCTGTCTGTGGCCTGCTTCTGGTATGAAGGGCATTTGGATGATAGAGCTTTGTGGTGGTCTTGTTTGTGTGGTGTGAGGACCCACTATCGAGCTGTGGTCAATGTATAATGGCATTGGAAAGTGATGAGTGAAGTTGTTCTTTTTGCACCAGCTGGTACCACCATGGGTAGCCTGCTCTGTCATTACATGCAGTGGCATGGCATGGCCTAGGCGCTGCCTACGGGGACGCCTTAGTTTGCAGGTGTGCAACCCTGCTGCATCCAGGAAACCAGCTGTGTCTGGCAGACTGGATCAGTGCATCCAGCCTGGAGTGGTCTGATTAAACATAGACTCAAGAGATCTTTGTTGAAAAGCTAAAGTCAAAACCAGCCAACAGCAGAATGCACCATACAAAGCAGGCAAACCAGACAGCACAAAGTGAACGTTTTTTTCTGCAATAGCCTGTGCTCGCTGGTAGGTCAGTCGGGCACAAGGCTGGTTTTCTTTATGTTTTTTTTTTTCCCAAGCCAAGGGGAGGGAGGGACCACCACTAGCTGAATTAGAAACCATTAAGTAGCCTAAGCCCCAAAGATCTGAGTCATTGAAAAGTCTGGCCTCCCCGAAGTTTTCCACAGCAAGGGGCTTGTGACAGGGCTTTAGGCTAATTCCAGGGAAGCTAGACTTGTGTTACCATGCAGTGAACTGTCTAGCAAATAGAATCTTTAAATATCTACAATGCAGACCTATTTGATCTCTTCAGGACTATCTTGTAATCATGGATACACATGATGCACATTTCCCATTTCCAAAGGTTTCTTTTGATTTTTCTTTTATTCTTTTTTGCTCATCACACATCCTGGAATGAAGAAGGCCACAGCATGAGAGTGCAAAAAGGATGCAGGGACTTCAAGCTCTCTTTAAAATGACATTTTTCTTTGTGCTTTTACGTTTCTTCTTGTTTTTCTGTGCACTACTGGCTTGCAAACTTGCATTGTTATAGAAGTTTTTTCACATGTGTCTAATGTACTGAAATATTGTAATAGCCTTTGTAATGTATATTGTCTCAAGAATAAAATGAAATGTGGGTTTGGGAATATTTGATGGCTGAATTTGACAGCAATTTTCTAATTGTATCGTTAAATCTCGAATGTATGATGGTGTGTTTTAAAGTAGTGTAAAATGATTTCAGAAAACTTGTTTTGAAAAAGACTTGCACAAGGCATGATTCATTTAAAAATTTTTAAAGCCCTATTCAGATTCTACAATTTTATTTCCAAAGCTGGATATGAAATTCAGTTTTAAAACTCATTCAGTTCTAACCCAATAAGACTAGGAATTGAAGTGATAATTGATAGAAACTAAACATAAAATGGAGTTGGAAGACAATGATTCTTTTGTATGTGAATTCATCCTAGAGTAAAACAAAGTAACCAAAAGTAAGGTCATGATCTTTAAATTTTGTTTTTTAACTCAAGCTTTAGTCCTTTCTAAGTTGCTTTCTTAACTCTGCTGAAATTCTTTTAATTCAGTGCATTATCCTTCAATTGTTGTAGAAATTAGCATATAATAAGGGCCTTACTGAGTTGAAAAAAATTAAATGATCCTTTCCAGGGGATACCCTAGTGCTCAAACACACATTTTCTAGATCAGTGCCTGACACCACTTGAAATCGTAGTTCACACACTTTTGAACATTTTAAAACAAGACTGTTCCTTCCACCCCGTGCAACTTCTGATGGGGTAGGTTGGGGGGGTGGTTGAAAAAGTACCCCAGGTGATTCTAATATATTTCTGAGACCACTCCCAACATACTCCCCCCATTCACTAGCGCCCCCACCCCGCCGCCTCCTTAAATGAGAAGGGTTGATGTAGTAAAACAATCTAAGAAGGAGGTGAGGTAATTTTTGGTTTTACTACATTTTACTCATGTTATAATTATCAGATGTATTTATTAACATACAGATTGCATTTCACATTTAGTGATATATGTATCATTTAACTTGGGCCCAAGTCACAACCAAGGACTTTTGATGTAACCTCGAGTTAGAAGTGCATGGAATAGCGATGTAGAATGGAATTTTATCAAGATCCAATGTTTTCTCCATTTCAATTGGATGAATTTGTCTCCCTTTTAAACAGTAAACTTTCTTGATGTGAAAGTTTCAGTGAAAAAGATTGAACTTGGAACATGACGAAAACTGAAGCTGTACAGTTTAGAATCAATTGGAGGAGAATTTATTAAATGAGTAAAAAAGATGTACTTTTCATTTCCAAAGAGGAGAGACACATTTTTTATCCAGCAAAGTAAACTAACATAAAAAAAGGGCTTTGGTTTTTCATGAATCAGGCCTCTGGCAACTGTGTTCAGCTGGTGCTTTTTAAGTGTACACAAATAATTTTTATCAACCTGGTTGTTGTTTCATAGCTTTGATGTGTAGTATCTCTTTATAGGATGCAATTATGAGACACAATCTGCACCTTACTCTCAATTAGGCAAGTATACCTATTGTAATTGTTATCTTTTACTTATGTGATTGGTATGCTCAATTTCCTTCACGAAATAAATGGCAGTAGCTTATTTTATGTCAATAAAATTGTCTAATTGTCATTCAAATCCCATTATAATAGCTTCTCAAAAACTTAGAAACATGGAAGCAATACCTGTATTGTTAAATATTATACCTCCAGATTACTTTCCGCCCTCCCCCCCCACCACCAGTTTTCTTGCATGTCGATGCAAAGCACTCTTTATGAGTACTAAATGTGGGTGAAGGGACAGTCAGATCAACTGTCGTTTTACATTGAACCTTTTTTTGGTATTAGCCTATCAAAAGAGCCGTGTTGTCTTATCAGTGTCAATTTTGCTTCCTATTTCTCTCTCCCATGCCTTTCACTTGGAATGACAACAGTTGACATTAAAAAGCTGTTGGCAGGTATGGAATAACCTTATTCTGTTACAAATAGCAAAGACCAAAGTGCATGTGACGTGACTCACAGGTTCAATACATCAGCAATGACATCTTTCCAGAGCGAATTATTGGTAGGCAACATTTAGAATTTGGAGCATAACAATGTATACAAAGACATCTGCATCTCATATCCAAAATCCCTAGTGCTCCAGCAAAATACTTTACATGTTAGTGTTAGGAGTAACATGCAAACTGTATTTTTAAGCCATGAAGGAAGCAACCTGTCTTATGTCCAAATCACAATCACTCATGACAAATAGTTTGTGTTGCTGATAGCTTCACAGCGTGTGAGCTTTCACAAGCACTGAGGACATTTTCAAAATGACTAGATGTTAGCGTTCTGCCAAAGGGCTATTTCCTGGTTTCACAGTGTGTTTTATCCCTCCTCCATCCAGGACACTAGATCCTAGCCTCCCTGCCTCAGGGTTACACAGGCACCTTAGTGCATCCCTCTCCCTTTATGTCTCTGGTATACTGTTCTGCCAGTCACTGGGTGAAGGGACTTGTACCTTCCAAAATCGATGTCACTGCACTCCTGGATCACCTGGTTGGGAGTGCGGTCTAAGCCAGGTAACCCCTGCTGAATCGGTCGTGTGTCCTCCATCTGCTTCTGGGTGCAGAGTACCAGCTCCCAGGATGTGGCCCCTGTCTGCTCACTCATGGCCCTTCCTGGCCCTTGGTGCCTCCTTCCTGCATGGCAGCATGAAAACGGGACACAGTGCTCCTCACCCACCCAGCAGCCTGTCAGGGTGTTGAGTTCTTGAGGTCTGTCTTAGTAACTCCACTCCCTTCTCTTGTTCCCAGTGGCCTGGTTTGCTTTTGACCCTGGCTCGGCACACTCTGACATCATCTTCTCCAATGACAACCTGACTGTGACCTGCAGTAGCTACGATGACCGGGTGGTGCTGGGGAAGACCGGCTTCTCCAAGGGTGTCCACTACTGGGAGTTAACCGTGGATCGCTATGACAATCACCCCGACCCTGCCTTTGGTGTGGCACGCATGGATGTGATGAAGGATGTAATGTTAGGAAAGGACGACAAAGCTTGGGCAATGTACGTGGACAATAACCGGAGCTGGTTCATGCACAACAACTCGCACACCAACAGGTACCCTGCAGCCCCCAACCAAGCCTTCTTCATGTTGGCTTCTGGTCAAGAACGAGAGCCCAAGTTCAAAGACCTAGTAAATAGGCAACATTAAGGAAGTCAGGCAAACAGTCTTCATTAAGTATCACAGGAGTTCTGTTAATCATAACTGAACCCATCCTGGTGGGGTTTTTTGGGGTTTTGCTTTGTTTTGTTTTTTGCCTAAGGACAGAAACATGCCACTTTCCTAGCCTATTCATTGCTATATTCTACCCATGCCTGGAAACTTAGAATCCTCATGCATATTCATTATAGGAAAACATTCCAGGATTCTAAAATTCAGTCCTATGACTCATCAGAAAAGCACTTTTGGACATGTTACTTAGTTTTTCTAAACCTTGATTTTCAAATCCACCAAATAAGGATAATGATATTTTTGCATGCAGGAGTGTTCCCCACATGAAATGGGATAGGCAAAAATGCCTCACATCAGAAACACCTGAAAATAGAGGCCATTGTTCTTATTATGATTATTATCAATACCACTGCACAGAATAGAAGCCATTTAATAAACTAAATCTTATGGAGGCCGATTTGGATGGCTTTGTACTTGAAGAACTGTCTTATGAGTGTGTGGATCCAGAGCACTGAGGTGACTGGGGAAAGAGAACATAGTAATCTCCTTAGGTTTTCTTCTACCACCAAAATATGGGCAATTATAATTTAACCCATACTGTAATATTTTCCTTATACTTCCTTTTTCAGTTGGTCTGTGTTTTCTTCCTCGAATGTATTTTTTTCACAAATTTCCTAGAGAGAAAAGTGTCTTCATGGATGCTGGCCCTTCTTATTCTCAAAGATTTCCCCAGAATACATTCTTATTGGTGTCTCTGAAAAATCTATATACATACAGCAGTCAGATCAAAAGGAAAGTGAGTCAGGCAGTGGTACAAGCGTGGACGCCACTGTTTCAGCTTTTTCTGTCTACTCATCGCTGCCCCTTCTCTCGCCAGTACAACTCCTAGGGCCTCCACGTCCTGTTCCCTTGGATATTTTCTATGCATCTCCATTCTGGTATGTTTCATTCACTATCATTCTAAGTGAACACACATACCATTGCAGCCTGATATCAAATCCTACTAGATGTAGATAAGCAGTTATCATCAGTGATTTACACTTGGGGGAACCCTCTGTCACCAGATCCCTGATTCTGTCACCCATGTACCACTCTTACGTTTCTCTTTTAGCTTCTTTGTTTTGGGGTAAAGGAGTGAATAATGACACAGCTGTCACACTATGCAGAGAAACACATTCTGAAAGCTGAACATGTCTGTTTGCATGCAAACTGCATGTCCCTTGTGCTGTCATTGTTGAAGCTGTGAATTAACAAGGCACCATTTTAAACTGTCTTTTAATAGCTATGTACAGTCTGCATCCTGCATGCCAGGGGAACAGAACAGCACTCTTAAATTGCTGTGCTCTGCTAAGATGAGGATGAAATTCAATATTGCTGGACCTCAGAGAGGGAGAAAAAGACACATCTGATCATCTTTGCTTAATGACTTTTGTGAAACCATCAATTGAAACATAGGGTACAAGTTGTTGTAAAATGACATTTGAATGCAGGTTCTTTAAAATCACTCCATCTCCTACACTGCAATTACTTTAAGAAGAGAATCCTCTTCTTCAATGTTGTCATCGTGTAGAGAGCCTCCAATTTCTCAATTCGAACTCATGTCAAAAATTACCATCTTTCGGGCCGGCTGAGTGGCTCAGTTGGTTAAGAGCTCGCTCAAGAGTTTGAGCTCTGAGCAACAGCGGTTCGAGTCAGCCCGAGCTGAGCAGTCGCTGAGCTGCCAACAGGTGGCAGGATGGCTCAGCTAAAAAAAAAAAAGACAAAGCTGAAAAATTACCATCTTTCTGGAGTGAGTTTTAATGGGTCACAGAAGGCCCCCCAATCCAAATTTCATGCATATGTTTTAAGTTCAACTTAAGGGCTTCTTTGATTTCTGAATTAAAAAACTTTGGATTCAATGATGTTTAATTCACATGGCACAACGTGTACAATATAGCTATCGGTGGAGTTCTGATAGCCCAAAGGCTGCTTTCTTTCTTGGTCTGTAATGTTTTGTTTTCTGAGCTGTGTCTCAGTGCCCTATGTGAATGAGGTCACTCTCAGCAACAGCAGAGCAGTGTGGTTGAACCTATACATTCTCAACAGGGGGTGAGACCTCCCCCATGGGAATGAAAATTGGTGTCGGGGAAGTGAGCAAAAAACCTTAGTCTTTTTATATATAAAGCACAGATATTCATGCAGCCCATAAACAGATATACTGCATATCTATGGTATTAAATTTTTTCTATGAGGAGGCGAGATTTAGGGGAAAGCATGTTTTAAAGTCTCCTGGGATGGGGGCAGGGGGGGGGTGATACTTTTAAACAGGTTGAGAAACATTGGTTTAACCATACAAGAGGGGAGCTTCTAGAATGATGACAGGCAAGTGAAACCCAATTGTTTTCTTTTCCCACAGAACTGAGGGAGGGATCACAAAAGGGGCCACAATCGGGGTCCTCCTCGACTTAAATAGAAAAACGTTGACATTTTTTATCAATGACGAACAGCAAGGGCCCATTGCATTCGAGAACATGGAGGGCCTGTTTTTCCCGGCAGTCAGCCTGAACAGGAATGTGCAGGTAAGCACTGTCGCTCCAAGTGTAGATGTGGCTTCTGCCAGCTCTGCTTCAGAGGCTGCCCGTGGGTAGGTAAATCCCGAGAGAGGGAAGCTGACCACGTAAAGCCCAGACCATGACGTGCAGGACAGAAGGAGGGAAAGGGATCATGATTCCAAGCCAGCCTCAGCCCCTTCATTACACCTGGACACAGTCTAGTTACCAGCAAGTAGGAACCTGGAATTATATTCATGGTTAGCTAATGATTGTCCCTCTGAGCCCTGATTTCATCTCAGGTAGAAATAAAACTCTTGAACCAGCTGGCATGAAAACAACTTGCGAAAAGTTCCATGAGTGCCCAAGAAGGGAGGGTGTAAGACTGAAGTATTAGCACCCTCATCAGAAATTTTGAGCATCTCTGCACTCTTATTTGGTTTTATGGGGATAGAAAACATAGTCCCTGCCCAAAAGGTAGTTTCTTATGATTTACTGTGAACAGAAAACAACAGGTTCTTCTCATTCATTCATTCAACAAATATCTATGGAGTGCTTTTACTATGTAAGCCACTATTTTAAGTATGTTGTTTATCACTGAAAATAAAACAGATAAAAATCTTGCCCTCATAGAGCTCACATTCTGGTTGTAGGAAAGACAACAAATATGAAGTCAGTTGCCACGTTGCTTATATAGTGCTTTAGAAGGCAGTACGTGCAATGGAGGAAAGGGGAGGGGAGGGTAAGGGGATCAAGAATGCTGGGTTGGGAGGGCATGGTAGCCTTAAACAGAGCGGTCAGTGTGGGCGGGCCTTGTTGCAGCCACAGGTGAGCTGAGGCTTGAAGAGGGTAAGGGAGTGAGCTGTGTGGACTTTCCAGGCAGAGGGAACAACCAGGACAAAGCTTCTAAGGCATGAGGGGCTCACAAGAGCAAGGAAGGGCCAGGAAGCTGTGGGCTGGAGCTGATGGGGGTGGAGGCCAGTGGGGAGAAGAGCAGAGCCTTGCAGAGGGGAGCGTGCCCCGCCAGCCACTGCCAGGACTGAGGCTTCCTTTTCCCCCTTAAGCTGGAACGCTCGTTGCCAGCTGTGAATCCCATTCAGCAAATGGCTGCCTTAAGAGAGTTAGGATTTGAGAATCAAAACACTGTAGGCAATTTTTGCTCTATTCAGAAGCACAGTCTTGGGAGCTACTTAAAAAATCCATTGTGGTGTATCAGTATGTACAGTAAGAATGATGGCAACCCAGGGACCTCTGCCCTCCTCCTCTCTTCCTGCAACTGGTTGGGGTTTTCTGGGAGGCTGAAATCTAATCTATCAAGCTCAGCCTCTACACTGGAAGAAAGAAAACCATAAATTATTCTAGAAGTGAGTCTTAGAAAAACCTCATTCAAAGTGTTCCACATTTTCAACTGTTTGAGTATCTTTGGATAAAGTCTCAGGCTAGGGAAGAAAAGGACCAAGAAGGGGAGAGATGACGTACTGCGTGAAATGGTTCTAGCCTTCTCCATGGATGTCTGAGGTTGGGCAGCTATCACTAAACAGTAGGAGTGCCCATGTTTCTTCATACCTGGCAATCATCTATGCAATCCTCAAATGAAAGATTTATCCTAATGAGACTAACTAGTGAACCAGTAAAAAAGGAAGGGCTGTCGGCTCGTCTGTTCTCTAACCATGGAATTGACAGTGATCCCTGCCATGTGGCAAATAGGCTTTGCTGCCTGCAGATCAATGTCTGGGTCTTCAGTCCTAAGGAACACAATGTCCCCAGAATCTTAAAAGCGGCAGGTGGATGAGAACCAGGTTATCAAGTGTGTCCAGGATTTGGGAGGCCACCTCGGTGGCCAGGTTCTCAGCACAGGCAGAATGCTATTAGAATTCTCTTTAATGTCTCCTAGAATAGATGCTAAAGAGAAGTGAACAGGTCCCTTTTGAATTAGAAAAACACCCACCGTGCCCCGTAGGGGAGGGAGAGTGCAGAGGGGTTTCCGGTCGTGCCTCCAGGACTCACAGTCTCTTCCCCCAGGTCACGCTTCACACTGGGCTCCCAGTCCCTGACTTCTACTCTAGCAGAGCATCAATCGCCTAAGGATGTGCTGTGCAGGCACCAGCTGCCTCGTCTTACCTCCGCCTGAAAAGCAACAGCACGGAGCTCAGCCAGAGTGGTGGGATCCAGGAGAGCTGGAAGGAGAGGGAGAAGGAGGAGAGAAAAGCTGGTCCTCTGCGGTCATTACATCCCACAACTCCACCCCTTTCCTTTTCAACCTCTTTACTGCTGTGATGCCTGCATTCGCTTCCATGTTCAGCAATTCCAACCAACAACGGACCTAGACAGCCCACCATGTCACTTTGTTTCCACTCCCAGATTTTGCTTTTATTTAACTTGATTTTGTATGTAGGTGAGTTATATTTTGTTCTTTTCTGATCATGTGATTGGTGACTTACTGAACTGGCACAGCCAAGAGAAAATTCTGATAGCTTTTCTCTTAAGCTTTCTGTCAAAGAGGTTGTAGGGAGAGGTAGGGAAGAAGGGGCTGAATTTGGAGCGTGCAGTTTACCTCCTCAAATGTTCTTGCCCTGTTACTTCTCATGCAGTGTTCAATCTGCATAGCTAGTCTTTGAGAGGTGGGCAGAGTGAATGTAGCATTGAAAAGTTTTACTATCCATTGAAGCACAAAAATATCAGCTACACAGCTACCCAGAGGTTCACAGTGGGTAGGATCAATAGGATAGCTTGGTCATTAGGACAGGTCAGAAACCCTGGTCATTCAAAGAAAGTGGAAAGGCTCCAGACATAGGCAGACCTGGGGACTTAATAATATGGTTCATTTGTTTAATCCAAGTTTTTAATTTAGAGCCTGCTATGGACCAGGCACTGTTCTAGACACTGGAAACACAGTGGTGAATACGCAGGTGTGGTCTCGCCCTCCTGGAGCTTGCATTCCAGGAGAACAAACCAAAAATAAAATAATTGCAAATTGTTACAACTACAAAGGAAATAAAGGGCAAAGAGGCTCATTGGCAAGATCTTTTACATCCCCTAGAATGATGCTAAAAATCCACATATTCTGGCCATAGCACCAGAAACATACCAACTCAATGCCTTTCCAACCGTGCTATTTAAATTATGATACCTGCTGCTATTCATCACAGAGCCCTTCTTTGGTAGATATTACATCAGCATTCTTATTTGTTAATGCTGCCATGATATTAAGCCTTAAAAATTAATGTGAAAAAAAACCACACAAATAGTGGCCAGAGAGAGAAGGACCCATTCTCAGTAATGGGGGATCTTGCGTTGCACAGCATTTACATTCTCAGGATAAACATGCTCGTCTCCATGTATATATACTCTCTGTGCCTGTTACAAGTGAAAAATCCATCCACTCTGCTGCCATTTACAACCGAACTTTCAAATAATGTTAGGAAGAAAATGAAACTGTATGGCATTGCTGTGACTGCTAGCAGAATAATAATGCTTATTACTCCTACATAGAGATAGACTTACACGAGTTACCCCTTCAGATTCTTTCATTTGACAAGAAGTTGTAGGAAATGTAGGGACCTGGAAAGAGGCTCTGATTAGTTGTCTAACTATTTGCCAGTGAGCCAAGAAATTCAACAGGAAAAAAAACAACAACAAGAATAACATAAAAGAGAAGACGGAGGATGGGAAAACTAACAAATTCAAGTTTTGGCAAAAAGTAATATATGTAAATAGCTAATTATTGATTATTGTGGTTACTTAATTTAGGTGATTTCTATCGGTTACAGTGTCTTTCTAGTTAGGCGTACCTAATTTATTGAATGGGTGCTATCCTGTTTATGTCTGTCTTGGTTTTTCTTGGCTACAGAAGAACTCTGTTGCAGGGCAACACTAGTTTGATATTTGACTTACTCTCCAATGAGACTCGATGACTGGGCCACTGTAGACTCATAGTTATTCCTGTTCTTTACTAAATTCATCCTGCTAATTAGATTTCTAGTGACTCGTAACACATAGTTTACACAGAATTGCAATTATAGATGCATATAGCTGCTGTACTAGAAAAAAATATTTCTGGTGTGCCAATAAATAATTTTTATTAGAGAACCTCATACGTCTCTTCAGAATTTCTTTGTTTTTGCCTGTTTGGGGTGATAATTTGCCTTCGTCTGAGCAGTATTTTCTTCAGTACAGTGTAATTGGAAAGTCCCCCGGCATCCCTGAAAGCACATGTTCTTCACCCCATTTCCTCGGGAGGGGTGGCAACTGTCTCCTGGAGGTACTTCACTCCTCAATCTAAGCTTAGTATGAAACATTTGTAGTTTGGATGCAGTTGGGGTCTGCCTCCAAACATTGGGGGTTCCCTTTAACAAACCTGCTCCTAAAGAAGCCACAAACTTGTACTGCAAAATATAATGCCATTGACTTTTTCAAACCTGGTTCCTTCAACATTTCTTTGAATGTGTTTATATGGCTAAATAATACAACTGTATTTTTGTACATTGGTACAGCTAAACAATAGGATTGTTTTTAAATAATGACAATATTATTGATCTTCCTTACACTGTTAATAGCCTTTTAAAATGAGCTGCCTTCAATTTTTTTATTAAAAGAAAAACATCACCTAAGAGTATATGGCCTAGGTTAGAACCTCAGAGTGAAACCTTGGGCAGCTGGTAGGCACTGCTGCTCTGCACCCGGCTGGGTTTCTGTTCATCCCCCTTCCCTCATTCCCTACCCTGATGCTGTTTTCTTCTTCCTCTATTGGTCCCATCTCTCCTCTGTTTTTATTCCCTTCTGTTCACTCCCTAATGGAACACTTGAGCCGTTTTTCACTCTTCTCGTGGTGCTAAGATTAAGGGAACTTCTGATCCCTGGTATTCCCTCATAGAAATAATTACTTACAAGAAATCACCCCATTTTCTGGAACTGAGATCCTATTTTTCTGCCTGTCATGTGTGCCTTATTCTTTTGCCCATCTATTCAACTCACTGATAAGAAAGGAGGGTTTGCTGCTCAATCAGCATCTCTGATTATGAATCAAGGGAACTGAAGTAATTAAACAAAGAAGTCCTCAGATCACACTACCTCATAAGTTATATGAACATGCTAAAGACACCAAGGCTGGTAGGGAAATTTGAGTCTGACATCACACATAACTGAGGCTACCTAAATCTTGTCTTTATCTGAAAAATCAGCTTTTTAGATACACACAGAATTTGGGGGACCAAATAAGAGTGAACAATGGAAGCACCTAATTAAATACACAGAAACATCGGTCCGGTCCTTTGAATTTATTATCTGCTCCATTCTGCCACAGCTGTGTTAAGAACAGTTGCAAGTACAGAATTAGCTATCACAGAATTAAATCATGGTGATACTTGCATAACCTAGTGAATATTCTAAAAATCACTGAATTGTACACTTTAAAAAGATGAGGCACCATGTTGGACATAACCGGACTTATCTTACAGCCCCCCTCACACTACACCTAATAGTCTGTTCCTATTTCATCAAATCCGTGATCTGTGGTCAAGCCCGAGGCTGAGGAACAGCTGACCTCCTGACCCCACCTTTTCTTTCCCTTCCCATCATCCCTCAGTCAACAGAAGGGCTTTGACTTGCTTACTCTTCCAGTCTGGTGAAGATTGCTTCTCCGTTTCCTCCTCGGCCTTCCTGTCATGGATTTTAACCTGCCCCTTTCCTGAGGGCCACAGTGCTGGAGCGAGTAGAAAAGCTGGCTACCATTAAGGAAGCAACTGAAAATCACTCTCACATCCCACAGTGGTTGTGAATCTTGTTCTCCTACCAAGTAAAAAATAAACATTCACCATGAACTCGAAAAGGATTAATATTTTGGCTGGTAATCTTGCCTTTTTTTTCCTCCAATGTTTTTTTCTAAAATTAATGAAGATAAATAAAGATAATGTCATTAATAAGTAGATCTAAATATTAAATTTAAATTAATGTAAATAGGTGGTTCTCAGCCTCCACTGCACATTGAAATCATCTGGAGAACTTTAAAAACACTGATACCAGGCTACTAATTTAATTGGTCTGGGATGCAGCTTGAGAATGTGGGATTGTTTAAGCTCCCCAGGGATTCTAACCCACAGCCAGAACTGAGAATGCAGAGGTAAAGAATGAGTGGGTGGCATATACTCAGATCGTTACTGTCTGTACATCTGGGGGAGCATCAGTGCATCAGTCTGCTACTTCTGTGGAGTTATTTGCAGCGGTAGCTGATAAATTTAAATTCACATAATTGTCACTTAAAAGGTCTTTTAAACAATTCTATAATGCAAAATAGAAAAAATATTGTATATGCACAACATTAATAATACACTGGATGATATAATTGAAGGCAGTACAAATTGCCAAAATTCTGAGAACAGATTTGTAATTGTTGGGACCAATTGATGTATCAAGAACTACCCTTCAAGGGCCAGCCAAGTGGCTCAGTTGGTTAAGAGCTCGCTCAAGAGTTTGAGCTCTGAGCAACAGTGGTTCGATGCCCGGCTCGAACTGAGCTGCCGCTAAGCTGCCAATAGGTAGCAGGATGGCTCAGCTTAAAAAAAAAAAAAAAGAACTACCCTTCAGATGTCCAAATCTGTCAAAAGCTTCCAGCTGTTACTTCCCAGAAAAGCTCTTTACTTATATTTATAACTCAATTAACAGCAACAATACAATGTAGCCAAGAGGAAAATGCAAACAAAAAACCCCACACAACCCACAGCATTCTTTAATATGTGTTTAAATTATTCTGCAGCATCACCAACGGGCTAACAGGATCCAGATCGTGAGCAGGCACTCCCATTATGTCTCATGTGACTGCCTATGGCCACACTTCATAGACAAGTACTTCAGACCCCTATTGTGATTGTCCTTCTGAAGAGGAAAGTAGCACGTATTCGGAGGGATAAATGTACACTATTGTAAATTAGGTTTTTTAGGGTTGTATACATTTAATGTGGTATTCGGTTTGGTTTTCTCCACGAGAGCTAATATTAATGCAGTAATTGAGAAATACTCTAATACTATGTGTATCCATATAGTGAATCCTATGTTTCATCTAATGTACAAAGGGCTTTACGTAAATCCTCTTACTTAATCGTCATCTGATTTACGCACTTTACTTTCACCATTTTAGAAATGAGGAAATGGAAGCACAAAAAGGTTGAGTAACTTGCCCAAGAGGTTAAGTAATACAGCAGGCAAGTGTTAAGAGATAGGATTTGGACACAGACAGCCACACTCCAGGGCTTGTGCTCCTCACCACTTGGTTATAGGTGATTGCCACACATAGGCTGCACCACCTACAACACACCCGCTCACTCAGTAAACATTTAATGGGCACTTATTAGGTGCTAAACAGTTATAACTACTAGGGGTACCAGTGAATAAAATAGACAAGGTCTCTACCTCCTTAGAGCTGATATTCTAATAGGGAAATGCAAATAAGAAATAAAGCTCAAGGTAGTTTTAAATAGCAATGAACACTAGACCAGAAATCGAATAGGCTAATGAGATAGAATGGTGCTCATCTCAGGTGCTCAGCATTGCCTCCCCGAGATGACATTTGAGCTGAAGCACCAGGGGTAAAGGCCTAGAAACAGGAACAAGGAATAGAGAGAGTCAGTGCAGCCGACATGCAGGGAGAGCGAGGAGAGAGGAGAGTGGGCCAGGTGAGGCTGGCAGGTGAGCAGGGCCAGACCACAAGGGCCCCTGCAGGCCAGGCACACCAGTTTGGTTACACAAAAACCTGAACCTGACTGGCTGACCTACAGGCACAGAGGAAAGGTATTAGAATGGTGTGGGATAGCTCAGAAAGATAGGAACCAGGGCAGCTCTGGGTATCATGGGAGCAGGAACTGATGAACAGCTGTTCTTCTCCAAGCCCCCCAAGGCTGCACTAAAGCTCCTGCTCTTTCTCGTCTTTTTGTCTCTGCTCAAGGTTTGATTCCAGAAAGACAGGGTCTGCTTTTGCTTGGGTCCTGTGTCTGCCTCTTAGCTGAAGGAGGGCAGGCAGGACCTTATGACTGAGAAGCCCAACCCCTGCATCCAATCTGAGTACTGTTTTCAGAAAACAGGATGGGTGCTGGCAGTAAAATGAACAAAGTGACAGGTTCCATCTCTGTCGTGCTTTGAATGAAGGGAGTGCTGCTTAAGCCTGTGCCTTTAATTTCTGGGATGTGTTTTTTGTTTTACAGAAGCAAATGTTTTAGAAATGGCAGGAAGAAAAGAGGCTCACTTTCAATCTCTGCAGAAAATAAACAGTGAAGGGGGGAATTCTCTTCAATATTGACTTTATGTTTCAGAATACCAAACGCTCACAACTGATTTAGCTCAAAAAACAACAGAGCTTCCAAAACTGGGCTGAAACTGGGGCCACAGCCAATATTACCTAATAGATCTTTTCCAAGCAATGAACACAAAAGATTGTTGCCTGTAAGCTACTCAAAACTGAACTGGGAATTTTTTCTCATAGCATAAGGCTTCCACTATGCTGATAAGAAAAAAAAATTCATTCTTTGGGTATTGCTGATCTGAAAATCTGTCTCAACATGGACTCCTGAGTTACAAAAACCAGGTTCCCAGCCCAAGTCAGCCACTTATTCGTATGAACTTAGACAGGTTAACCTCAATCAGCCTTAATTTGTCACAAACTAGAGGTAATAAAACCTACACAATAGGGTGATTGTGAGGATTAAGTTAGAAAATATGTGAAGTGCCTTAATTTTTCTTGATTAAGCTCTTTGATCTTTTCTATGGAAAATGGTCAGCATATAATTAAATACAGGTTACTAGAATGCCTGTATTGTGTGTGAGTGGGGGGAAGAATTTACAAAGGGTTTTGGCCTCAAATAATTTTAAAAGATTTGCATTCCTTAAGTATAGTTCACACCAGTGTTTCTTAGGGCAAGTAATAATAATAATAATAACAATAATAATAATAGTAATTGTTACTGTTCTTTTAGAACTCACAATGTGTCTGGCACTATTCTAAATACTTCGTGTTTATGAACTCATTTAATCTATAAAACAGCCCTATAAATTGGCATTATTATTATTCCCCCATTTTAAAAATCAGGAAATTAAAGCAAATAAGTCT